TGTGTCCAGTTCTTGGCTCCACAGTACAAGAGGGATGTGGAGCTGCTGGAGAGAGTCCAGCGCAGGGCTACAAGGATGATCAGGGGCCTGGAACATCTGCCCTATGAGGAGAGGCTGAGGGAGCTGGGCCTGTTCAGCCTGGAGAAGAGAAGGCTGAGAGGGGATCTAATCAGTGTCTATAAGTACCTCAAGGGAGGCAGTGAGGAGGATGGTGCTGGCCTCTTTTCAGTGGTGGCCACTGACAGAACTAGAGGAAACAGCCGGAAACTGAAGCATGAAAAGTTCCACAGGAAGTTAAGGAAAAAAATTTTAACAGTGAGGGTGACGGAGTACTGGAACAGGCTGCCCACAGAGGTTGTGGAGTCTCCTTCTCTGGAGATCTTCAAAACCCTCTTGGATGCAGTCCTGTGCCACGTGCTCTAGGTGACCCTGCATGGGCACTGGAGTTGGATTAGATGACCTCTAGAGGTCCTTTCCAACCTTAAGCATTCTATGATTCTATGATTCATCTAGCCCAACCCGTCCTTGCTAGTTCTGCATGCTGAAGTGGTCCTTTGTTGTGCTCAGCGAGATCAAGCCTCCATCCTCCCTCTCAAGATAGAAAGAAATCTTAGCTCACCACCCAATTCCAGCACAACCAGAGTCTTGGATTCAGAGATTCTGAACCAGGATCTCCAAAGTGATGTGCTTTTACCTTTTTAGGAGCTTCTGTAGTCTTAGACAAGTGTCTTGTTCAGTAAATCATGTTGCTTATTGATTATTTACAACTTACATGAAGAAATGCATTAGCTCTCTGAGTAAAGACTGATGAAAATGCTTCCTGTCAGCACAATCCAACTCTTGAGAGAGAGGTTTCCTTCCAGGTTCCCTTCTATCCTTCCCCATTCAAGCCCTAGTTGAAGAGCAATATCTGTATACTCACCGTCCATGCTTTAAAGGAGATATTTCTCCTTTGTGCATGCAGAGTCTTCATTTGAGAAATACATTAAGGACCTTTAGGCAAATGTGTCCAAAACCCAGCTACTGTCATGTAGCTTGTCAGTGCTACAATGGTTTAATTTGGTTGGAGAAATTAGCAAAACTCTCTCTGCAAGGGACTAGAGAATAATTATACAGACAAATGAATTTATCAGATTGAGAATATTTTCATACATAGTCATATAATAATAATAAAAAGGTGCACTGAGAAAGGAAATGGCAGTAACACAGAGCATCACAGAGAAAGACACAGAGAGAAAGATCCGTCGTAGTAAAAGTCAACACTTTATTAAAGAAGCAGCTGAGATGTTCTGACAAAAAAGGTTTGTGATGTGTCTCTTGTACTTACCTTCACTGAATTA